TCTCCACACTCTAGTGTCGGTTTCAGAGAAGGTTTCAAGGACATTGGGACTGACTACATGGTAATGGTTGTTCTTTTTTCTATCTTCTCCAACATTGCCGCTCATTCCTTCTTCTTTTTCTTTCTATACTAGTGTAACAGAGAACATTTTCAGGTTTTTACCTGTCTAGCATAGCAATGCTTGTAATGCGTAAACCATATATCTAATGTCTTTTAGTTGTTTGCTTTTACACTCCTCTGCTGAACTACAGAATAAAGATTTAAATCTAAAAATAAGTTAACAAACAATTATCTCAGCCACACAGGAGAACTCTAGAAGCCTCCAGCGACATGTCAAAAGTCCCAGAAAATTGGAGGGGCAAGTCTAATTTATTTTAAGATCTTAAGATTCCTAAGATGAGAACCCAAAAGTAGCTGTAAATTAAAATTTTACTAGGGTGACAGGTGGTGTGAAATTTCATATTACAGCAATAAATCTTTATGAACCAATACATCACCGTAAACAATTACTATAGGAGATCATTACACGGGATTCTTTACATTACAAGGCTCTAATTTTTCAAAGCCTCAACTGTTGCTTTTTTCTATTTTGCCGTTTTGTTTTTTACTCTAGCACAAACTAAATAATACTGTAAATAGTTATCATTGGTTGAACATTACGGAGTTTTGCTCAAGTCAATATTAGAATAAAATACTAATGTAAATAAATTTACCCAGATAGGCCATGATATAACTGATATACTGACTTAATGCCAGCAATATCATATGTCATTTGAAAGTAAAAATAAATAAATACATTTCTTGTTAAAGCTTTGAAATAAGTATAGGCATTGGTTTAACAATTGTTATAAAAAACAGCAATATTTAGAATTATTTTATTAACAAAATTTTTCTTATGCATCTTAGAAGATATTTCCCGGGATGCAGCCATTCTCATGTTTCTTATTGGCTGCTAACTTTGTCTCTTTTTAAAAGTTTGCAATTTTTTTTTTTTATATGAACGGTAGAGAAATTGTGTCACAAAGGCTCTTCGATAGGTATCCCCTGAAGCTCCACTCACATAAAACTAAAGAAATTAAATCACAGATAATTGTCTTATTGGGTTCTTCAAACTCTCATTTCCAGTTCAGATGTTTTGGATAAACATCTTTGACAATAATATGCAACTACTTTATTGTTCTTCTTCATTATTGCAAGCCCATCTGGAATAAAATATATCTTGGATCAAGAAGCTGTAAAAGTGGATACTATTTTATTTCTTCATCACACCATTTGGATTCTTGTTGTAGTTGTTTGGAATATTCCCCAAACAACAGACGTTCCAGTTGTTCTGTCGGAAAGACTGTCTGGTTGTGGTTGGTCTTGCAGGACTTTTTGGACTGAGACGTGAATTTTCATGGTCCCAGTGGGGACATTTCCAAGAGCTGTGCTTTCTCTCGTCTGCTAGAACTGACTGAACAAGTAAAAAAGAAAGATTTATGTTGACATTCACGCTGACAAAAATCACGTAGTAGAAGTTGAATAAGTCAGTAGGTATTGAGGATATTATTAGAAATCTAGAAGATTGAGTCACATTATACATCAATAACTGGTCATATTTCTACAGGTGTCATGTTAAAGTCTATAAAGATCATGTTTTTTTTTTAAAAAAAAAAAAACCTAAAAAACTATCTATTGGAAGCTAATATGGCCTTAGGTTGCTTGCAATCAATAAATCTTGATACACAAATAAGACATTACAATAAGACTTTTTAATACCATCTACATTCCATATGCAGATATTTAGCTGGCACTGATATGTAAATTGCTTCAGTGAAAGTTTTAATTTTTTCTTGTCTTCACCTGTCTTCATATATTCCACATTTACAAGAACCTTTCTTTAACTTCAATTTTCTACAGTAGGTCAAAATACATAAAAATAAATACATTTTAGAGAAACACTCCAGGGAATCAAAACAACTTCATCAAAATGAAGTTGCCAGGAGGCCCCTGATGCTGGCTTACACTTAAGGGTTAATGTGTCCTCTCCAGTGCCATCTCACTCTGCCATTCAAACATCCTCCAAGCCAACCTTGTCTAGGGTTACATTTTGAATATTATTGACATTCAAAAATTTCTTTCCAGTAATTGTCATATCTAAGAATTTACAATGTGTGGTTTCCTAGTAGTGGAAGCTTGAGATATTTTTAACATTGTTTTAGTAATATCTTCCCTAATCTCTCTCTGTACAGTTATGGGAATATTCCATATCTACCATGGATATCTTTCCAATCTAATAGACCAAATACAAAATATTTCTTTGAATATATATCACTCATTATGGGCAAACTTTTGTTCAGTCGCCACCTTGCTTAAGTGAGAGTGCCCTGTTCTCTCAAGTAGACATGGAGATTCATTTAGGGCTAACTGCAATTTATCAGAGTTAATGCCGATTGGGTGATTGGCCAAAATTTAGATTTTTGACCCGCCATGTGACAGAATCTTGGGGATACCAATACACTCCAGCCCAAAAGTGCTGATTTTTGATTCACAGCTTTATTCAGGGCACTAGTAAAACAAGGGGATAGAATGGTAAGAGACTGTTTTTCTTTTTTTTTGGTGAAGGCAAATAAGCAGTTTAATTTGTCATGTTGGACAAGAATAAGGGGGAATGTCTTGACCAATCAAGAGGTAGCAAAAAAAAAACAAAAAAACAATGATTGATGATTAAGAAGCAGCCAATAAATTCACAGATCAAGTGACAACTGACCAAATAGAGGGGAAAAAAGGAAGAGCAGTATATCAATCTATACTTCTGAGCCGGATTCTCCCAGGCATTCTGTCTGTAGCTACTAAGGGAGACAGATCAGCAGTGATACAGTGTGTTTTACACTTGATGTGTGGAAGTGGAAGATAGACTGAGTCTTTAATTCTAGTATGAGACTAGACTTACCGGTAATTTGTTGATGTATCTACTTGCTACTGCCAGGGGCACTTGAAACACGTAGGAGATAGGAGATTAACATTTTGTCATTGATTTGTCACTTAATGGCCTTTTTGAATTTGCTTTGGTACCGAACTTCAGCCTAACAGTGGAATGAGCTATATTCTTCTGTCCAAATTTTGTTTTTAAAAAGCTGCCAAAGTGGTTTGGAAGAACTAAAATGACCCCTTCTCCCTGTACAAGTATATTCTAGAGTGTCATCAATGCAGTATCAGGATTCCATTCCTACCCATTGTTAAAAGTTATCCATTCACAAGAGAAATAGTAGTACAGTTAGTTGAGGCGCTAACTGTGGCATAGGCCGTGCTAGCAAAGTACCAATTAGAATTGTAAAACTACCTTGAATTTGAAGCTACTGCTGTTAATAGCAGATTCTATTGTTTAATTCAACTTGTGATTTTCCTTTTCTAGAGCTTTGTCTATACTTTATTACAACTTGCATCGACCAAACGAATACCGGTTCTTTGCTGATTTCAAACAGTCAAACAGGCATATTCACTCAAGTGAGAATTCAAAGTTAATTTAAGGTAAAATGTAAAGATGCTCTAAGTCACCAATGCTTCCATTTTGGCTTCATTGGCCTTAAAGGACCACTATAGTCACCCAGACCACTTCAGCTCAATGAAGTGGTCTGGGTGCCAGGTCCCCCAGGTTTTAGCTCTGCAGCTGTAAATATAGCAGTTTCAGAGAAACTGCTATGTTTACATTACAAGGTTAATCCAGCCTCTAGTGGCTGTCTTCCTGACAGCCGCTAGAGGCGCTTTCGCGATGCTCAATACGAAAAATCGCATTGAGCACGCAGAACGTCCATAGGAAAGCATTGAGTAATGCTTTCCTATGGGCGTTTTTAATGCGCGCAGGGCTCCACTCGGGAGCTGACGTCGGAGGGGGAGGAGAGGTCACCAGCGCCAAGGGAGCCCGGCGCTGGATAAAGGTAAGTGGCTGAAGGGGTTTCAACCCCTTCAGCCCAGTGGAAGGGGGGCCCTGAGGGTTGGGGGGGACCTAAGAACTATATAGTGCCAGGAAAATGAGTTTGTTTTCCTGGGACTATACTGGTCCTTTAAATGTGAAATTCACTTTGAATTAATTCTGAATTATCACTTTAGTGGATAACCCTGATAGAATGAACAATCGAAATCCTTGGCAGATATCAATGGATAGACAGGAAACATAAGAAGTATGGACTTCAAATCATTACAGGTGGGCCCTGCCTTTCATCTTTAAGATGAAGGAACAAGTCATCCAAAATTCAGAAGGATTTTCACAAGTCTAATACAATACAAATACACATATGTAACATTAACAAATATGGAACCACTCATTCATGAATGCAAAATAATTCACTTTCCCAACCTCCCCATTTTACCAAATAATATTTTATTTATCCAGCCTCTTCACCGCCCACAGCTGTGTATTTTCAGTTGCCTGGAACAAAAGCAAATAGGAAGGATTTATCACTTCTGAGTAAAGCTTTCACATGTCCAAGAATAATTAATAGCATCCTTAGTTTAGTCTTGACAAATTTTGTATTCCATTAGCACAAGTGCTCACATGGATAATCCATGGGATTGTGCATCTCATATCATTTTTCTACTCTTGTTTTTCACCCCCAAAAATATATACTTTATTTACAGCATTTAATATGTATATTGATGTACCTTTATTTTTGCCTCATCTAAAAACCCAAACTTTTTGCAATGTTATTTTGAGTAAAGCACAGATCACTTAAACATAAGTATACAGTGAACAAATAGCTTTGCTACAAAAACATTGCAATATATAACCTTAGATTGTGGTTAGATATCTACCTCTGATTTGGTCTTAGTACTGATAAAATTGTATCAAAAACTGCATTTCAAAATACTTTCGAAGCACTTACTTTAAAAACAAAGTAGGATTGACGGCGGGGCTTGACTGACTAGCCGAACGGACGCATCTTGCACGAGCTCCTGAGCTCAATAAGCTATAACTACAATTACCTGCAGTCAAGCAGCGAATTCTACAGCAAAACTCACGGGATGAAAAGAGGGGATCGCGGTGATCTGACTGACACCAAACTCGGAACCTTTCAGGTCTGGATTACCAGCCCTCAACCTTCTGCGGCCTACAAGCGCATCAGGAGTCGGAGAGACGGCCGGTCTCCAGCGCTGACTCCTGCTAATCATAGCAGGCATCTTTGTCTGCTTTGGACCCCCTTTGGAGGTTCTCCACCACTACACCCAATGCCTCTCGGGCAGTATTGCAGAGTGGTGTCCAAGATGGCAGAGAACACAGGCAGCCCCACAACCGAGGCCTACTTTGCGGCCTCTCAGGCATGGCTGAATTTAATCCTCGACCGATTCTGGGCAAAATTGGCCGCACAGCAGCTGGGTACACCAAAACCTGACCAGCACACAGCTGAACCTGTGAAACTACAGACCTGCTTGCACAGACCCCCTAATCACCCATTGTCATCATGCATCCAGATGGACCAGTGGCGTCCCTGTAAGATGCAATGATCACTGAAAGGACGCAGGCCTGTCACCTCACGGAGGCTTGGAAAACCCAATAGAAAGTACACCTGCATGAATCTTGTCTACTGCAGAGTGACCAACGATCTCCCCACAGACTGGGCATTGGATGAAGGAGTAAGAAGACCCGGGCTGCCTGATGGCACATTTAAGTGATGACACTGACGCAGATGACACTACAGACCCTGTTTAATTTGGTGGACTCCTGTTATAAATCTGCTTTTATGTTCTTAAGTTAACCTAAACCTTTCTCTTTTACAAAAGCTTTGCCTTGCCTACAAATTGCCTATATTTTTTATTTAAGATTGGTTCTCAGTAATTTGTTTATTCTTAACATATGTCTCCAATCAATAGCCTGTCACGGGTGGCGGTCCGGTGCCCGGGACCCAGACACTGTCCGGGCGGCGGTGCGTGGACCGGGACCCCAGAGTGCCTGATGTTCAGAGTAGGAGTCTCAGTGTGGAGGTGGATTAGCAGGGTCTGGTGCAGGGTAACCGCACGCCCCCTGGTGTTGATGACCAACGTTTGTGCAGCCACATACCAGAACCCTAATTCAGCTTATGCGGATCCCAGGAACTAGGAGCAGATAATTAAGCAGACCTCCCAGGAGCTGAATAGGGAGGCTCTGCAGCAGGGATGTATCCAGTACTGAAGCAAGGATAAACTAGAGATAGGCACCATACATGAAAACAAGACAGGACTAGGACAACAGGGCAAGACTAGAGGAAGCAAGGCAAGACTAGGAGAGCAAGGCACCATACAAGAAAACAAGACCAAACTAGGAGAACAAGGAAAGACTAGAGATAGGCACCAAATATGAAAACAAGACAAAACTAGGAGAACACAGAACCAGAGCAGGACAGAAAGCAGAACATATACACAAGACATGAGGAAGACAAGAACATAACATGGGCATGACTGGACAGGACTGTACATGGACTGGGATTACAAGACAAGAGATACAAGGTAAAACAAGAGGAAACATAGCTAAGCACTATATATGAAAAGTATGGGGATTTAGTCACATTATATGATCATACATTGCATAAGCCTGCCAACAACGCCAATGTACCCCATATCTGGCAGGTCCTACACTGCCTAATGTATGCTAAAACAACCACACTATACCACAATAGCACTTACCTGCAAAAAGGGGCAGAGAGATGAAATACTGCTGCAGGTCCAAGCTGAAACAAAAGGAAAAACATACTCGTTTTCCTGGCACTATAGTGCCCTGAGGGTGCCCCACCCTCAGGGTCCCCCTCCCGCCCGGCTCTGGAAAGGGGAAAGGGGTAAAAACTTACCTTTTTCCAGCGCTGGGCGGAGGAGCTCTCCTCCTTCTCTCCTCCTCCGTTCCGCCCCGTCGGCTGAATGCGCACGCGCGGCAAGAGCTGCGCGCGCATTCAGCCGGTCGCATAGGAAAGCATTTACAATGCTTTCCTATGGACGCTGGCGTGCTCTCACTGTGAAAATCACAGTGAGAAGCACGCAAGCGCCTCTAGTGGCTGTCAATGAGACAGCCGCTAGAGGCTTTGGGGGAAGGCTTAACCCATTAATAAACATAGCAGTTTTATAAAAAAATGGGTTAACCCTAGAAGGACCTGGCACCCAGACCACTTTATTAAGCTGAAGTGGTCTGGGTGCCTAGAGTGGTCCTTTAAGTGAATCCAAGAGACTGGGAAATCCAGGGACAGAATCTAAGAATGAACCCAGAAACCCAGCAACAAAGAAAACCAGACATAGACCAGAAAACCAGAAAAACCAAGCAAGGACAGCAAAAAGAGTACTGGATACCAGAAGTCATTGCCAGAATGATCCGCAGCGAGGAACAGGATGTGACGTAGCCTCAGTCTACCTTCCTAATGGTATAACTGGCAGGTTTTATCGCATATATGACAGCCCCACTTAAACAGCACCCACTCTGCTCAGCTAATTAAGTCTGATTTATGTGTCCTCTAACCAGACTATCCTCTACATGATATCTAGCTGATGGTTTGACAGTTTCAGCCAACCTATGTGTACTGAGGACCACTCCTCTTTGATAATCACTGTATTTCTCTGTTTCCTTAATCTACTCACAGTCCAGCTGGCCAACATAATTTTGAGCATTTACTGCAAGACAGCTACCTGTACGTATGTTATATAACTTGTAACAACCCTATTATTAACAAAAATGTGCTTACTCATCAAGACCATGAAAAGTTTATGTATGACTTATCGTACGCTTGTTAATGCTACTGTGGCCTTACAAGGCTATATTTAATACTCTGCACACAAAAAATAAAGAATTTAAAAACACAAAAAAACCAAAGAAAAACCAAAGTATGATTAATACCTATAGGATGCTATGACATTCCATGCCGTCCTAACAATGTTGTTATTTAAAAACGTTTGGACTGCATGGAAATTGATATCTCGGGCTCCTGTCTGTCAGCTTTGGCCATATTTAGTGGCCCCAGAAATGGACCATGCGCTGTATGCAGCGTTCAAGGAGAGCTCTCCGTTCAGCTCTTTTAATCCATTTAAATCACCATAGCTGAGCTTTCAAACTGTACTGCTTTCACCTCACCCACACATCCTAGGTATAGGAAACATCACAGTGCTGCAGACTCACAAGCTCCGAGTTTACATTTTTAGAGGAACTATGCGGTGGGAAAAAAAACAGATTATTTGACTCTATGTGTGGTTGTTCTCACAAATTCTCTGCTAAGCTCACTCTACCTACAAATTTTACTGGTACTTTACAAGACAGGCATTTACTACTTGTAAACTATGATATATCTTTTTTTTTTTAATCAGCGTGTTTTTGAATGATAAATTATTGTACATTTTGCACTTTCCCAAAGGTGCCCATTGATATGATGGCCCTATGGATGTTCTGACTTAAGTAAAATAGGCTGCATTCTATTAAATGAATGATGTCATGTAATAAATGATCCCTCTAGCAGGCTCTAGAAATCCATAGAGGTAGAGGAGTGGATAGTCTGGCTAATGGAACTAAACTAAAACAAGCTCAAAATATACATGACATGTAACAGAATACATTAAAAGAGAAACTCTCAAATATATCACACAGCATTATGGGTAAACTCCAAATACATCCAAAATTAAAAGGAAGACATTTATTAAATTGGATTCCTGAAGGTGGAATATATTCATTCCAATCCAATAAAAATATACACATTTTAGATTAATTCTTTACTGCAGATTTACAAGCTAACATATTGCTACAGGTTTTTGCAACTATGCTTTTGAAATGTAAAACCTGATTCAAAAGCAAACATAATTTTGTTGAACAAATCAACTATCTCTTAATCACCACCGTTTTATTTCCCTAGCCACTATAATGCTAACTGGTTGACAACTAAATCTTGGCAGGGATGCAGGACTATTATCACTTTAATTGCAGTCAGCATTTTACAGAGCTTTAGAATTCACAAAAGACCAAACAGGTTTCTATTTATATTAATGGGAGGGTCTGTTCTAAATTTTAGAAATGTGGACAGATAGTAGAAAAATAATTTGCTTGTTTCAATACATATACACATGTTTTAGCAGGACCCTATGTAACCTCAGTCCCTGTTATCGTTTGCAATAGTTTGCCTCTTAGTTGATATTTTATCCACTTACAAAAATGGTTAAGTTATGTATGATTTTTAGGGTTAAAAAATTATCCTGCAATAATATTCCAGTTTAAATTCCAAAAACGCAGAAATAGATTTTAGGTGCAGCTCATGAATTTTATTTAAAAAAAAAGGAAATTGCAAATTTCACAACATGAACATTTCAAAAGGGTTTGTATACAATGGCACTATGCACATTTAAAATTCCATCTCATTTTGTGCCACTTATTTATTGTTTATTTGTCATAATTAAATGAGTTAAAACCGCAGATTTTAAAGTGTTTGACTATAATTTGCTCCAAAAAACTAATTAGAATGATTTGCCAACTACAACTACAACTTTATTAGACTATCAGAATGTTGTACACACGTAAACCTGCTCTGATAAACTGTTTCTATACACCTTTTGAATATTCCAGGTAGAAGATTTTAGTGTGCCTTTATAAACTGAGGCTATTGAGTATCTCTGTTCGTCTCAAGTATATGTTTTTAAAAATTACCAATAGTTCTATATCGTGACATTAACTCTTTGGTGTAGAACATAAGCATTAAAGAGAATGGTTATGTGTCTTTTTCAAAGGAGAAACGTAACAAATGCAGCTACATAGAGCACAGCAATCTATCTGTCAACAGGGCTGTGTTTGACTCAGTAATTTTTAGGCAAGAGGACATATGTCTCTAGATGACATAATTCAGATACTTGGCTTTAATTTTGACTTTCACATGGAATTACTGACAATTCTCACTTTAGAGATTAAATCTATACTTTCCAACAATCAGTCCCGTGGGATTCTGTGAGGGAGTGACGTGAATCATGTCACTGGCGATGCCCAAAATGGGTGAGCACACCAAGAAAAGAGGCGGGTCCACCACCTGACAGGCTGTCTGGCCCACCCCAAACCCTCAGGACCACGCAGGGAGCGCTGCTGAAGAGGTCCTTGCATGTCCTAGTACCCACTGCATAACCTGGGGGCAGTTCCCTGGTGATGTGGGACACCAGGTATAAAGCATGACATTTCTGGTGGTCCTGTCTTACCGAAAGCAGGACTGGTGTAAGGCCTGTAACTTTGTAAATTAAAGTATCAAATACCATAAACTCTTGACCAACCAATATTTACAGTAGGTATTATTGAGGAATGCCCGAGTCAGGCAAGGAAACATTGTTGCAGCCTGATTATCAGTCAAATATTAGGGCATCAAACAGAAAAAATATATATAACCCAGATATGCAGACTAAGGTCAGAAATAACACAAGCTTATTAAAACGAAAAAAATTATTTGAAGGTCCAGTAATACGAAATATGTTACAATTTAGCCAAATTGTTGATCTTAGTTACAAGTAATATAGGCTAAACTCTTGCAGGG